ATTAGGCTTTCTCCCCCGAAAAACAGATGCCCATGTCGTTGGTTTGGAAAATCGGCAGCCATTGTTATGCGTATGAGAGTTATAACTCTTTTGTTAGCAGTTTCTGACTTTTTTCATTTATTTCGACATTCTTGTATCTCTATTTTGACCTGTCAAGCGCAGATCTGGGATGTTTCATGGCTAATGATTATTTTTTAGAGGCCTGGCATGTGGCGGAACATTTGGTTGGCCCTCTAGTATATGACGAGCCCCTCGCTGATACGAGATTACTAATACAGTCCGTCTGCCATTCGTCTGTCTGGTAGATAAACAAACAAGTACAAAGTCCACTGAGCCAGACGCAAAAAACAAGAAAAAACGGAACCGGGAGGTTCAGTTCGGCACGGTCAATTTTGCAATGCCCTCACTAACAGTGAAGCAGAAACAAAAATTAAGGGAATTTTAAGGATGATTGAATATTGAAGATTATGAAGGTTTGATAAGGTAAAGTTGTGGATAAAAGTTACATTTATTCTACTAATTCCATTATAGATTGTATATTAAAAATTAAAGTTTTATTTTATTTATAAACTTAGGTTATATTTTTAACTCAACCAATTTATTAATAACAGATATAAGATTGGAAAAACTTTAGTTTAAACTTAACTTAACCTCAATTTTATGTGAAGACCTATTTAAGAATAAATTGTATGTTATAGGTAACCCAATAAAATTCTCATCAAGGACAGTTTTCTAAAAAAATTAAACAAACCCCAAAATTATCCGTATCTCAATCAGAAAGCAAAGGTCATCATATCATATTAATTTCACAAATAAATAAAAATTTACTGCAACCATAGTACTTGAAGTGTTTTAAGTTTAAATGGTTCTAAGATCTCTAGTAATTACGATCTAAAGGTGGGTGCAACTTGATAAAAATGGAAGAGAACTGTGGACTATGACCCCCCATCACGACATCAAAGATACCAGTCCAGAGGGTAGCGAAAACCGATTGCATTGTGAATAGGAAGCGCTGGGAGAGATTTCTTGTCTAATCGCACATTGGACCAATCCGAAGCAAGCTGAATAACCTGCCTTGGCTATAAAAGCAGGCGACGCAAGCGATTCTTTAATCTTCTCTAGAGGAGATCGGTTCTGATTTTGTAGCTGCTACCCAAACAGGTTTCTCCAAAACAGTAGTAGAAAATGTGGTTCGCTGTGCTCGCTCTAGTGCTTTTGCCACTGATCGTTCTGGTGTACTTTGAACTCAGGGCATCGCATCGCCGCCAGCTGCTCAAGGAATTCAATGGACCCACTCCGGTGCCCGTTTTGGGAAATGCCAATCGCATTGGCAAGAATCCGGCAGGTCAGTTCGAAACCAAGCCCCTGAAACGGGGGGGCTCGTCTAGCGGTCTAGACTGGGAACTGATAAGCTGTTGTTATCAGTCGAACTATAACCGGCTGGCTGAACACCACTTGGAGTGACGAAATTCAGGCCATGTGAACAAAGATCACACTGACCTTATCTCACTCGTGTTTCTTTTCCACAGAAATTCTGGCCACGTTCTTCGAGTGGTGGTACGACTATGGCAAGGATAACTTTCTCTTCTGGATAGGATACAGCTCTCACATTGTGGTGACCAATCCAAAGCATCTGGAGGTAAGTCTATTATAGATAAAAGGTATACGAATAGTAAAAATTGGTATCTATTAGATACTATCTTAAAAGCTAACAAAATAAACAAAGCAATAATCATTAACTTTTTTTGATATTTCTCCAGCACATTTTAAGCAGTCAGCAGCTGATACAAAAGTCCACCATATACGACCTATTGCATCCTTGGTTGGGTTCTGGTCTTCTAACGAGTTATGGCAGCAAATGGCACAAGCATCGCAAGATGATCACCCCATCGTTTCACTTCAACATCCTGCAGGACTTTCACGAGGTGATGAATAAAAACTCCAGCAAGTTCATTGATCAGCTGAAGAAAGCAAGTGCGGGAGACAGTATCATTGATTTCCAAGAACATGCCAATTATCTAACTTTGGATGTGATTTGTGACACGGCCATGGGAGTGCCCATCAATGCGATGGAGCAGCGCGATTCCTCCATTGTTCAGGCCTTCAGAGAGTGAGTTTGGAAAAATATACTTTTTAAATAACATGTCGAGATATAACATCTTCTTTTCAGCATGTGCTACAACTTGAATATGCGAGCTTTCCATCCTTTTAAGCGTTCCCAACGGGTCTTTAGTCTATCACCTGAGTTTGCGGCTTATCAACGAACACTGAAGACGCTGCAGGACTTTACCTATGACATTATCGAAAAGCGAGTGGAGGCGTTGCAGAATGGAGGTTCCAAGACGGAGCAAGATCCCTCCTTGCCCCGAAAGAAGATGGCCTTTTTGGACACACTACTGTCCTCCACCATCGATGGACGTCCTCTCACTCGGCAAGAGATCTACGAGGAAGTGTCAACCTTCATGTTCGAGGGACACGATACAACCACCTCTGGAGTGTCCTTCGCCGGGTATCTACTTTCGAGACATCCAGATGTTCAGGTGATTCGAAGAATTCGAACCTAACTTTATTTTGCTAATTTATCTTTAAACAACAGCTGAAACTGTATCAAGAGCAGTGCGAAATTATGGGCAACGATATGAACAGGAATCCAAATTTCCAGGAGATTGCCCAAATGAAATATCTAGATCTGTTTATCAAGGAGGCACAGCGCGTCTATCCCAGTGTTCCATTTATTGGTCGCTATTGTGACAAGGACTACGATATCAGTAAGCATTTGTAATTAAAGTAAATATACATATTATACTATTTTTAAATTATACCCTGTTTAGATGGATCTTTATTTCCCAAGGGCACCACTATCAATCTAGCCCTAGTCCTGCTAGGCTACAATGATCGCATCTTCAAGGACCCCCATCATTTTCGTCCTGAGCGATTTGAAGAGGAAAAACCAGGACCGTTTGAGTATTTGCCTTTCAGTGCTGGACCCCGAAACTGCATTGGCCAAAAGTTCGCCCTCCTAGAACTTAAGACTGTGATATCTAAGTTAGTGCGATCCTTTGAGGTGCTCCCAGCAGTCGATGAGCTGGTCTCCAAGGACGGTCGGATTAACACTTACCTTGGACTCTCCCCTGGAGAAAAGTTAAAGCGAGAGGCAGGGCGCCATAAATACGATCCAGTTTTATCGGCGGTCTTGACCCTAAAATCCGACAATGGATTGCACCTTCGTCTCAGGGATCGGCGATCCTAATTAAAGAGGATTTTTAAAAAACTGAGGAGCCTCAAAAATATTTTGTAGTATCTAATGTATTGTATTTAAAATATTTTTACCACGAAATAAATGATCGCTAATTTTGTATCTGTGAATAATAATTTTAGTTTGTCTGTTTTCTATATCTTTAAAATGGTTCAGTATTATTAGGTCATCTTCCTATCTAGACAATTTATTAGTAATTATAACCCAAAGTTCGTTTTTCTTTATTATTTATTACATTGTTGAAATTATAAATAAACCGTAATAATTTTTTGATCAACACATCCCGTTTTTTAAATAGGCGATAGGCTCTATTTTTTCCGTCCCGTAAAGGACCACCTTACGCCGAAGTTGTAAACCAAAAATAGAAGAATGTACAGTCTGAGATTCATGTTGGTATTGAGTTGATGCTGTATCCGTCCACAGGTATTTATAGCTTGGCCTTATCGAATTTCTACTTTAGCCATGGATTGCGTAACTGATTATAATTAAATTTGAAATGGCTTAACAAGAGTTAGGATTTAAAAATTCCTGATTATATCCGGTAAAAGCAATTTCAATAAATGTTGTTATCGACATATGCAAAGTAAAAGTCTGATGGTTTAGTTGATGGCAATAACAAAATAATAATAATAACATTAGGGTTAGTTGTATACGACTATTTACTATAGTAAAATAAGCAATGCTATTGTGGTATGTAGGTACTTAAACTCTTTATATATAATTCTTTTAAACTAACTTGTAATTTTAAGAGTTTCTTGTTCTTCAAGTAAAATTATTTTAATGAAGCCGTTCGAATGGATTTTCCTGGAGGTGCAAGTTGTCGGCTTAAATGCATTACCAAGTTGAAATCCTTGTAGTAAAATTTTAAATTCCGAATTTTCGACTATTTCGTTCCAACTTGTTTCGCTCTCTTGTCGCCATAAATATTTGATGTGACGGCAAACTTGGCGGCTATCAATGGGGCGGTATGGGTTTGGATTGGGGTTTTGGTGAGATTCGGATTCGGATTGGGAATGGGCGAGGAGGGGGAGGTGGGCCGTTGGATAGATAGGGAGTTACTGGATTTGGGGTCGGGGATTTGGCATTGTTGTGCGTAGAAGTATCCGAGGTATGCGGCGTACCAAAACCGGGCATAATCAAAATACAATTGTGCGTGTAGAGTGCCTGTGTGTGTGTGCGAGTGCTAGCTGTCCTTTCTGTGTGTGTATTCGTTTCGCGCTTGTGTGAGTGTGTTGTAACGCATGCACAAACGTTTATTTCTTTCTTTCTTTTGGCGTTTGTTTGAGTGGGTGGCGTGGCGGCGGTGGGCGGAGAGCGAGAGTGAGAGAGAGGAAGGCCACCTGGAGCGCCGAACAGCTGCGCGACACTCTCTCTCTACCTCTCTTTTTCAGCTCTCATACCCACGAAAGTATGCTATAAACTGGAAACCTGAGAGCGGCAGTAGGATATGTTGGTCCTGATGGGCTGTTAATGCAAATATGTGCGAGCGGAAGTCATCGTAAATTAATTAATTACAAATCGAAGCGATGCTCGATAAAGATAAAGGCTAGCAGCTGAATATGAAACCGAAACCGAAACCAAAAGCAAGAGTAAACCCGATCCTGGCCAGCTGAATTTTTACCCATCCTGCCCCCGACTGGAAGTCGTGCTCGCCTCGGCTCCATTCGGCTAACATTCGTCCTTCCATGGACTTCGTGTGTGGCCTCCGGATTCGTGGCCGCCTGGCAGAGACCCCAAAACGTTTTCGGGCGCTGTGCTGACAACATCCTCGCAGGACCAACGAGCGGATGGTGCGTCCCAAAAGCCTCCTGCTCGGTGTATGTGTGTGCAGAAACTTTTAACCGTGTGCGCTGTCCGCCTGTGTGTGTGTGTGTCTGTGTGCTGGTGCGCGAGGTGTTGGAAAATTTATTGCAGTTTGAAAAAATCAAAGGAAAAACTTAAGCCGCACCAAAGTCCTCACCTCCTCACTATCGAGAGTCCCATAATCCTGGCCTACTTGAGCAGACAAATTCACAAAGAATTGCCAGCCAGCGGTGAACAGAATATTATATACAAAAGCCAATTTTTATATAATCAAGCAATAAAAAGCCACAAAAATGTGGAGAGGGGGGAGGGGGGAAAAGCGTTTTTCGGTCGTCTGTGTGAGTGCAGAAACATTAATGGCAGCCCCCGTTCGTGCCTGTTGTGCGTTGGTGTGTGTGAGTCTGAGCCTTCTCGTGCTTGAGGCCTTTTTCATAAAGAGGTCAAAACGTTGCTTTCGCCCTGTGTGTGTATGTGTGTGTGTGTGATTGTGTGCTGCGTGTGTGTGCAGAGTTTCTTCATGCTTTCTGGCTGCCTTCTTTTTCGGCTGGTCAAGTCAAGAAGAAAACTTAACAGTCAGACTTTCGGCTGTCACGAGTTCGACCCCGTTCTTAAAGCGACCCCGCCCCTTTAAAGTTGCCCAGCAAATGATATAACAATTAGCCAGGAGCTACCATTTGCCCCTGTTATTTTTGGGCTGAGCTTAAGGCGCAACTAATGGGATCTGGTTGGCTTTTCCGGCGCTTACTTTTAAGAGCCGCACCGTAGTAAAAATTATATAAAAGTCGGGCAACGATTGGCATTAAAAAAATAAATGGCACACTTAAAACCAGAGAAATGTTAAAACAACATAAAAATACAATATTTATTATCCAACATTCATTTTGATTGATGAGATAAACTAAAAGAATCAACTTAAGTTAAAAATAAAAAAAACTATAATGTAATTGCTTAATTTACAGAAGATTTAACAAGAACTGATTCTATAGCTAGATTATAAAATGTTATCTAAAGGTCAATTAAAATAACCATAAAGAAAGTATCCGCTGGTTCCCTCAAATTGATGGGGCAATTATGTAAAGCAAAGAAAGCGCAAAAATGTTACGCAATTTTCTAAAAAAAAAGGAAACCACAAAACATAGCGAGGCAAAAACATAATTAATAACAAAGCCACACGGTTGAATTCTTGGACAAACTCTGTCCTGCGGCTAAAAATAACAGTGAAAAAGGACACAAAGAGGCAGGAGGAAAAAAGAGATAGGGGGAGAGGCAGGATTAGCAGGAGAAAGGAGAAAGGAGGGCCTAGGACTAGAAGCAGCGGGAGCTACTCAAAGCATAACAATGAACATAACCGCACATTCAGCCAGAAGCAGTAAAAAACGCAAAGTGGGCGGGGAAATGAGGCGGTGGGCGGGGGTCGGAATCACCTACTAAACCTAAATGAAAGTAAAAATTGTAAGCGTAAGCTAAAACAACAAACACAGCAGCAAACGAAAGCAAAAGCAAAGAAAAAAGCCGTGAGAAATGCGATAAGGCCTAGCAGATAAGCGGCATCCAGAGAGGGGCGGGAAAATTCAGATAGAGAGCGCGGAAAATTGCCGGAGAGCCTGGAAAATGGCGAAGAGAAAAGTTGGCCAAAAGAGAGTGTACCATGAGTTTGCAAGGAAATCTGACATTTTTGGTAACTAGCATGCTAATGAGGTGAACAAATCTGAAGACTCAGTAATCTCTTAAAAATATTTAATTTTATAATTCTATCAATCAATTTTAACATCCTTAGAATTATGTCTAAATGACAAATTTAATTAATTTTTAGGGGATTTCAATATTTTAAATAGTTTGTGTTAAATGGCAATTTAAACAAATGTTATGAAGGGTCTTGGGTGGTTTTATTTATTAGACCTTAAAATGTATGTGGTAAAATAAATTAAGTAACAGCTTTTACATAAAATAGATAAGCTTTATACTTGTTCTTTAAAAATTTAATTTTAATTGAATATTTTAAAAACAATAATATTTTTTGTGTCTATATAAATGATCATTCTTATGAGATAATTATTTTTTTGAAGTGAAGTTTGAATGAGGTCTGTGTGAAATTGGGACATGTTTGAATGTGCTGTTTATATACTAACTTAAAGCAAAAGTTATATATTGTTAATGAAAAAAATCTTTAAAATTTCTATGTAATTCTTAATATTTATCTTTGATTTTTTTCCGCAGACAGGCATCCTTTGAGCCTTAACAGCCATCGAGCGAAGCCTTCGAAAATGTAAACAAAAGCGACGCAGGCGCAGCAGTACTCTCTTCCGCACACCTCAAGCAGTTTGGAAAGGAAAGGAAGGGAAAGGAAGGAAAAGCCGAATTTCCAGGCTCGCATCCTGCTCGGCCGTCGGCGGCTGTCGGTTTTCCAGCCCACATCCTGGCCAGGCTCAAAAACAGGCTCAGGCAGCCAGCGCTCACAACGCCAGCAGAGTGCGCAGCGTGATGTAGTCCAGCTCCAGGATCCAGTATCCAGTATCCAGCTGCAGACCGAGATTGAAATCCAGCTACAGCTCCACTCAGGGAAACTTTTCCTTCACCACACTCGAGCACGCACACACAGGGGCACACGGGCACGGACACGGACACCGACACGGGCACACCGAGTCGGAAAATCGGAAAAGCGGAAAAGCCTCAGACAAATGGCCAGGAATAGCAGCAGCGGCAGTAGCAGCGAGCGCAGCAGCAGCAGCAGTGGCACAAAAACGGGGGAGCCGTGAAAAAAGGAAGGCGAAAAACATTTCAGAGGCGGGGGGCAGTGTGGTGTGCGAAAATATAGGGGAAAATAGCGCGCCCCGTGGAAATGGAAATGGGCATGCTGGGGCTTCTTCTGTTAGCCACACCAGCAGCGGAAGTAGCAGCAACACCAGCGGAAACGGAAACAGCAACAGCAACCTAAATCCGCGACCGCCCCCAATTTATCCGTTCTTCGCTCTCTCCGTTCCGTGTTAATTGTTATTTATGTATAGTGTATATATAAAGTTCTGTGTGATACAAATGGATCGCAAAGATCCGACGGCAGGCGAGAAACTCTAATCTAAACTCAGTCTAATCAAAAGCGTACAACGACAACAAACGGTTTTGCAAGTGAAACGATAACACCAAACCAAACCAAACCAAACCAAACAACCAAACCAACAACATTATTCCAACGGGTCCAATGTTGCAGCCAACAACATGCAGCAAACAGCAACAGCAGTGGCAGCAACCAGCAATCGCAACAGCAGCAGCGGGAGGAGCAGCTAAAGATCATGGAGCCTTAGCAGCAGCAACTGCAACAGCAGCAGCAGCAGCAACAGCAGCGGGAGCAGCAGCAACTGCAACAGCGACAGCAGCAACAGCAAGCCGCAACAGCAGCAACACTTGGTGCCACAGCGACAACATGTTGTCCGTAGGCCACAGCCGCACCAGCAGCACAACGATAGACTTCAACAGTCGCCGGCGGAGGGGGCGCCTACGAGGACACGGCCACGCCCCCTTTGTCCTGGCGGAGAACAAGCAACACCAATCTACGATACTGGACGAGTGTGTAAATATTTTCAAGCGCTTAGTATTATTAACATTAAAAACGATATCAGCAACAACAACAACAATAACGAAAGCCAAGACAAGAAGCAGAACAGCAGCAGCGATACCAGCTATCAGTGCAACACCTGCAACATCTGCAACATCTCGTGGTGCCTCAGTGGATCAGCTGCTCCCTCCAAGTGGCCGCAGCCGCTGCAGAAGTCGCTGCCTCCGACTGCCGATCTACAGCATCCTGCTGCTCTGTTTGGCCACCCAGGGATTGGGATTCGGAGATGCCGCCAAGCCCAAGTCAGCCAAGCAACACTTTGGGGGCAGCGGCAACATCAACAGCCCGAACCAAAACCAAAACCAGAACCACAACGATGTCCTGGGCGGGGTGGGTGCCCCATCCCAAACGTCCGGCGAGGACGAGGCCGAGATCATGTACCCCTTCCAGTCCGGGGAGCAGATGTTTGGCTTGGAGGAGGACCAGGACCAGGACCAGGAGCTCAACTCCAATGCAGTGCCCGGTTCCGACGAGGATAATTCGGCCAATCAACGTGGTATCAATGGTGAGTATCCCTCTGACTTTTATTCCCCCACCCACGTCATTCCTTCGCGTATGTGGAATTTTGCATCTGCCAGTGGGTCTTTGACTAATGGCATTCGTATTCAAATGAGCCACTCAATTTCGGGGGCGAGAAGTTTTTTTTTGGGGGTGGGCGGTTCCCTGCGTTTAACTTTTCAGCGAAGACAAATTGAATTTGCCTTGCATGGGGCATCGATGAGTTCGAATCGAGTGTGAGTGCTGAGAAATGATAGCGAATAAAAGTTCAAGGCCCGGAATCAGACAAATGTTTAATGGGGACACAGGTACATATGCGGTCCGCCCACACGGCGTATACGTAACCCAACCAGACATAAGATTAATTCGAAGAAATTCATTTAAGGTCCTAAAATTAGAAATCAACTTTTAAAAAAAGTTTGCAATTCAGACAGCTATATTGGAATGCTTGTTAAATTTTTTACTTGATGGCTTTTAAACATAGACATTTTGTGAATCTATCTATTGGGCAGTACATCAGACCTTTAATTAAACTTTTTATTTTCGCTATAACTCTTTAGAAATTAAAAATAATGTATTATTCCGCAACGATTGTAAACAAGAAGTAAGATGTTGGCAATTATTTTTCAACCACACTGCGTATGAGCAGATGGCGGATGAAGTGTACGCCGCTGGGGCGAAACAACCACAGTAATTCCCGCAAAACTCATATGCGCTGCGTATACGTAATATGGCGAACATAAATTATCCCGGCCGCAGCATAAGCGACTGCAAATGAACATAATGGAAGGGAGAACTGTCTGCAGTTGGCCGATGAAATATATGTGCTTCTGTATGCGCCCAAGAGCGTGTTAATGTGTGCTCAGCGCACACATATGGGGAAAAATACATATTTTTCTGTGCCACATCAGCGAAAGTCAAGCTGCTGCTGCCTCCCCCTTTGCACCTTTTTGCGCCCTTTGCAACCTTTTTACCTTTTGCCCCTGATTCAGCCAGCCTGTCTTTCTGCTCCCGTGAGCGGCGCAGTCACATTTTGGCCAACAATTAAACCCAACATTGCGCACGGACCCCGGAGCCATTTCTCATTTTAATGACTCAACCGAGCCAAGTCCTGTCAGAAAAGTGGCTGTCTGCTTTTACGATAAAAAGAAAAAGCGAAAAGCGAAAAAGTGATCGACTAGAGTTGACTCCTTTGTCTAAACAAAGGGGCAAATCTCCGGATATGTATAGATGTTGATGATGTCAAGCCCCGATAAGCTACCCCGGCTAAATCCCATCCAATCCCGGGCTTTGTTTGCCTTTTCCCACCCCCCACCCCCCAGAACCACCCAAAATAAATAAACCCCGCTCGTGACACACAAAACCACTCGAAGGCGGAACGTGTGTCCTGCGAACTGAAAACTGAAACTGAAAACTGCAATTGCAGTGGGTACAACCACAAAATGCTTGTTGTGTGTAAATCAGGCTTTAAAATTAACGCAGATTGCTGGAACAAGCGACAGGCCACGAGCAATTAACATGAAACCAGTGGGGCAAAAAAAATATCCACTAAAAAACCGAGAAAAACTACGTCGGAGGACACACACAGCGAAAAATAATGCAGACAGAGCGGGCACATAACTCAGGTCATACATACAGGTCGTACATATAGTACAATCCTCCATATAAATGTGCACTGGTCTTCTCCTCAGCGACCTTTGTTCGAAATTTCATATATATCTTGATGTATATGTGTGTGTGTGGGTACATATAGAAATTCCTGCCAGTGTGTTTGTGTGTGTGTATTTGCCTTGCTTTTGGCTTTTCTATTTTACCATCGACCCAAATTGCTAGCGCGCTCTCCGTATAATAACAACAAAAATACACACACTCTTGGGTGAAATATAGTATAAGTATGTGAGCTGGTGAGCTGGTGTGCGTGAGTGTGTGCTTGTGTGTGTTTGGGGCACACGCAAACGTGGCTGTTAACGACGTTTCAGGCTCTCAACGTCGGCGTTTTTGTGGGTGGCAGTGGGTGTTTTCGGGGCAGACCCTGAACAAAAAGCAAAAAAAAAAACAACCGAAAGGAAAGAAAATATAAAGTTAAGTAAAGACCTCGACCTAAACGGCAGGCGGCCAAAAACTTGGTGTAACTTTGTGTGTATGCAAACATTTTGAAAAATGATTGAGAAAAACAAAAACAGAGACAGAAACAGAAGAAGCCGAAGAAAAAAGCCGAAAAGAAAAGCGAAACGGCGGCGGAAAAGTCCGAAAAGAAAGCACGCACAGCGCCTTAAACACAGAAATTTAAATCGATAAATCAAAATGCCAACAACAGAACGGCAACAGCAACAACATCAACAATATCGTCCTGGCAAGGACGTGTGAGTTGCATGCTAAAAGCCACGAGAGAGACGATGAAAAGCCCACACCGAAACCAGTACACCCAACACCCATCACCCAGAACCCAGAAAAACGAGCTCTTGTGGGTGGCAGGAAGTCGTTTCCTTCCTGCCTCCCAGCAAATTCACTATACCGTTGTGTACTTTTCCTTGCTGTGCTTTTGTAGCGGGGGCTCTTTTGCTGCTCTGAACTGAAATGACAACATTTGGCCGCCTTTTTAATTATTGACATACCCAACATACCCATCGCTTGTGTCCTTCCAAGCCTTGTGGCCACTAATTGCCCCTCATGTCTGCCCTCTGTCTATTTTTTAACCACGTTTGTGCGCCCTGCTGGCTGTGATTTGGCACTAATTTTAATCCCAGCTCAGCTGCAACTGACTCAGCTCAGGTGAGCCCACAGGATTGGATATGCCAAAGTCCCGTCTTCTGTTCAAGCAGCGAATGAATCACGTTCGATGTGCCCGCGAGGGGATTGGATATCAATGAATCGCCCCTTATCGACGTGATTCATGCGATCCGGGGTTTTGTGGTCTGTCGGACTCTTGGAAAACCGGTTAGCAAATGCAATCTCACAACGGTATCGAGTGTCATTCACTGCGAACCGCGTAAGCAAATCTTTCTCGAATGCTTTGAAAGCATGCTAGGTTTACGTTTGTTTGCTTATATTATGTTAATATGTGGTGTTCCAAGATATTTATGACTAGTCCTAACTGGTCTTCAAAACAAATTATTCACAAATTAGTAAGAGATACGCATCAATTCACACTCAAATTGACTAAGCACCAATAATAAGATTATGTCTCCTACAAATCAGATTAAACCACTGAACTTTGTGGTACTCGTACTACATTTGATTTTCCAATCTATATATACTACCAAGAAACCGCAATTAATTATTGCTGTGAATTTCGCTTATCACCTTAAGTTTTTTAGCTAACGTTTAGTTGATTTATGGTAGTTTTTTAGATAATAGTTCTGGTGACCCAATGGAAAATGCAAATAAGTTTTTAATGAATGCGAGTATTAATAAATCAAATGTGAAATCCCACTTATTTATATTTCGGTTTAGAAAAACCTTTGTTGACTCATCCAGTTATACCTTTCACTTTCTGGAATTTCTCATAACACTTGTTCATATGTGGGTAATTCAAGCGATTCTCAAAAGTTATTAAGCCAGGCTCATAATTATGCCCAGATTTTAAATGGTGCTTAAGCTTCAAGTACCTACTTGCCGTTGACAAAAAACAGAATACGAGAACGAACTTCTTCTACGGATTTTTGAATATTCTACCGCTTGCCAAAGTTTTAACAACTGCTATAAATTCATAAATGCGAAAATTAGTTTAAGAAACATTTCCCATTAAATTAAAGGTTTCCCGTTCCGTTTTTCGGGGGTTTACTCGTCGCAGTTCTCCACGAAATTGGGTCAAGCACATAGTGTCGAGGCTGGCATTATAATGTTGGCACTTTGGGCTCGGTCCACATCGGGATCGCCCTGGGGATAGAGCCGCTTTTGATTAGCTAAAATGCGGCCCACTCATGTGTGTATGTGTGGGTTTGCTTAGGGCCCGAAACTGTGCCAAGTTATGGTCGCCTCGCCATAACTTTTGAAGGTGGCAAGGACTGCCGCCGAGCAACCTTCATTGACAGCTAGCTGCTCATAGCCGTGATAAACCTTCTATGGCAATCCTTAAGTGCCCCAGCCCCCATCCACATCCACATTCATGCCACATCCATATCCACATCCATCCGCATATTGAGCACACTGCGCCAGGACGAGCGAGGCTCTTCTCTCAGCCTGCATTGATTCAACAGCCACTTGACAACCCTGCATGCACGGAGAAAAAATACGGGTCATATCAGTCTGACATTTCTGTATTAAATTTTATAAAATTACATTAGGTATTACCCTTTAAAACTAATTTAAAATTTAACAAATTGATCATTTATGATAATACAAAAGGAGAATACTGTAGGTTGGGTCTGCACATATCAGTCAAACATTTCCGTAAAAATTTTTTTTTTTTTAGTTATAATAGGTATTACCAGAAGTTTTGAATTATAAATATGATTTTCCTGTATATCTAAAGGTAGTACTATTTAAATCAGTAAAAATTAATATAGTACGACCAATTAAACACCATTTAAAGCTAATTTTAAATGTAACATATTGATGAAGTTTATGATATTACAAAACGAGATTTCTGTAGGTTAGGTCAGTCACCAAGGTAAAACTGTAAACTGTCTAAGATTTTTTTCAACACAACACTTTTAATAATATAAGTAAAAGCCAGTTGTAAGTTTTTTAGATTTTATCTGTGATGGTCGGGTAGCATTTTTCATTATACAAGTTTTCTTCCAATTACTTACAATTGGTTATAAAAATATAAAAAATACTACACTTTAATTAAACTTTAAGGGTCCCAAAATGCCCATTTGGCTTTTATTAGGAAATTTTTAAGGGAAATGTATAAGTTTCAATATGAATGGCCAACTAACCCCAAATTAAAAATGAATTACAAAATAAGTAAAATAATTGCGCCATTTATTTTTTTAGGAATTTTAAGTGAGGGTAGTAAACTTTATTGTACATTTTCAAGTTAAAGATGATTCATAAATGGCG